ATAATTTAATAAATAGGGCAGTGTTACTCGATTTGTTTGGTTCTTTCGTATACCAGCTTGTCAGCGAGTCATACAAACGGCAGTTCACGCAAAAGTCTTTGAGACTTAGATGTTAACAGTCGGCGATATGCAATTGCGTGGGTAGGACAACAACTGCATTAGAAACAACTACTGGGTTACCGAACACCATTGGGGAATTATGATAAGTGGGAACGGGGTGGTGCCGATTTTGTAAGCAAGAATGCGCTAGATCGGGATATCTGTCTTTCATTGTGGTCACAAAGGTAACTCTAAAATTATCAGGCATTAGTAGAACTCTGGTAGTAAAAGATGAAAGTGAATACCTAATTTTAGCACTTGCCTTATGGTCAGCCCATGATGTCCACTGGTAGTGCATGACCGTAAGATTTGCCTGTTCCTGACTTAGCATCAGCTGCGTACTGATGATTTTGCCATCCTTCGTTGCACTTCGCTCTCGTAATTCAATGCGTATTCCCGCGCGCTTTATCACTTTGCATTTTGACCTGATAAAAATGCTTCAATTTATTCATCTTCTTTTTGTAATAAAAACTGGTGGAGATCTGACATTCCACCTATAAACTCTTCTTTTTTCTTTCCTTCAGGAACGGTTTCATCAACGCTCGTCAACTTTAACTTTCCTTAAGAAATCCATGATGGGTTTCTGGCTATTTTTAGAACGGTAGTAAATCATCCAAACTTTGACTGTGTACGTGCATCGCAGTTATTAATGCCTTTAAAAATGGTTAGATGGGCAGTTCAGACGCGGTCTGTGATTAAGCTTAGTATTCTGATGATACTGGGCGGTGCTGAGGTACTTCACTTGGACGAAACTTTGGTATATATTGAACTATGGGCCCGGTAAATCGCACAGTTTGAGTGGTAGGCGACTGCACTTTCCTGAGCAAAACAGCTTATTAGAAACGGGTTCAAGTTAAATTTAAAATAACGAACGTTGGCAGATATTCGGCACATTTATGACTGTGGTCTTCCATGTAATTGCACAGCATGAAAATAAGCCCGGATCGTTCTTGCCACACCATTTGCCAAAAATCGTCCACAGTATTCGATAGTGGGCCCTGCAGTTGCTATTTCTGTTTGTACCTTTACGAAGCACGGTTTCCAACAAAAAGCCGATCTTCTATCATTTGCTTGTTAATGCAATTTATCATCTCTTAATGATTTTAATGCTGTCAAGAATGCCAAAACCACCCGGGTTGTCACTTGAATAGTGATGTTACTGGATGTTCCTCCGTAGCGAGCGCAGATGTGCCAGGCTCTTCAGTCCTGGGCTGCATACCTTCAGTTAACGCCCATCGCTTGCTCAATGTATCTGCGACATCTCTTCAGGGAGTCCCTATGTGGTCGTTTATTTTCTCGTAGGTACCACTCACTAATGTACACCATGTACCGGCTATCGGAAAGATATGCCGATTAGAATGGAAAAAAGTGTTAATTCTTTCTCCTCTCCTTAACTGCTCAAATAGCTGAATGTAAATAGGAAACCTGTGTTAGAATGAAATCGTTTTGAAGAACTTTATGCCGAATATAATTAGCATGAATATAATCACTACCAGCGCGGCGTAAAATAACTCTTGAATTATCCAAACAGTAAATATCTAGAACATATCAGTCAAGCGGAA